GGGCTGATGGCTCAGAGCCTGACGCGGGGCTCGAACTCACGGACCGCGAGATCGTGACCTGGCTGAAGTCGGACGCTTAACCGACTGCGCCACCCAGGCGCCCCTTTGCTGGTTTGAGTCTAAAGCTTATGGTTTAACCATCTTGTCTCACAGATCCTTGCAACAATCCTGAGAAGCAGGTATTTTGATGTCCGTTTCACAGATGCGCAGCAGAGACTAAATAATGAAATCGATACTACTCAGAAAGCATGAAATTAGTGACTACCGTTTATATGGCACCTGACAATCTGCAAAGCAGTTTTACATAAGTTGTTTCCTTTGATTGCAGAAACAGCTTGGAACTGAAGGTAACTTTGTTAGTTTTATTTTAACGGTGAATAAACTGGTGCTCAGGGAAGTGGAAACTTAGTGCGAGCTGACATCAATACAGTCCCCGGAGAGATCCTCTTGGAACTTTCCACAAAGGTCCAGATAGTAAATACTGGGCCATACGGTCTCTGACAACTAGTCAACTTTTCTAGGTGGTGACCTGTGGCCACAGTTTGCTCACCCCTGGTCTGTGTCACTTTGCTGGATATCAGAGTCTTTTATGGACCATTGCTTTGTGGGATCCCTCACCACAATTTTGTTATTATTCATACTGTTACTATTTATTGTTACTGTTACTATTTATTGTTACAGTTGTTGATGACGTCATCTCCATCATTTTACAGAGGCGGATATAAGGTTGGCATGGTTAAGGATTTGCCCAAGGTCAACACGGGAACCGGAAGCCGGATCCAGCTTTCCTCACTCCGAATCCCGCCCTCTGTCTACCACGCTGTGCTGTCAGATTCCATTACTTGACCTTGTGATGATGCTAAGTCCATGGTGAGAGTCCACGAGGGTTCAAGGTGGGTAGCAGACCTCCTTCCTCCCCATTGCAAGGTGGCAAGCCGTGTTTACCTTTACTTCCCTGGGCTCTGGGGAAAGGTAACGCCTGTAGTTCTCCTCCTGAGGAACATTCTCCCACTCCTCCCTGCCTTCCCCATTTATTCCAGCCCCTGGATACCTCTCCCTCCCCCAGCCCCCAGGGGGCTTACACTCCACACCCTTGATTATTAAAGAGACATGGTCTCCATGTGGGCAGTGACTGTCGTGGCTGACCAGCTATCTGCCAAACCCCTCTCCCTGCCTTCTGCAGTCATGTGGCTGCCCAGCTAAACTTCACTGCTCAGCCCCACGTGCAGTTAGGGACGGCTGGGTTACTAAGTTCTTGTCTAAGGAATTGGCGGGTGAAACTTCAGGCAAGGCCTTTACTCAGTAGGCCTGCCTCCTCCCTGCACTTTGTCCTTCTCGCCAGCTGGACCCAGCCTTGACCTTGTCATGATGATGATGTGCTGGGGGATGACAGCACCAGAACACCGAAGGTGCCAGTGTCCCCAGAGGAGCACTTGGAGCAGAAAGCTACCTGCTGATGGGGAATACTTCCTCATCACTTCATACTCTGATGTGAAAGCGAATTAATCTTTGCTCTCCACAGGCCATTAACTTTTGGGGGGTGGGGGGAAAGGGGCGTCTAGTAGAGTGAGCCCTGCACTTACACAGCCTGGGGTGACACCTCCTTAACCTTGTGCCCCTGGTGCCTCACCTGCCTTGCCCTAGTTCTGGCCCTGTCCGGGCCACATTTATCCGAGGAATGTGTCACTCGTTTTCGCTTTATACTACTTCGTCCTTTTCTCCTGATATGCCAGTGCAGCTTCTTTGATTGCAAGTTTCAGGAACCAACCTGGCTAACTTCGGCAGAAAAGGAGTTTATGGGCAGGCTGGTGGCTAACTCACAGGAGTGACAGGAAGCCGAGAGCCAGGTAGGGAAAAGACGGAGACTGGAGATGCTGTGGGTGTTGAGGTAGTCAAAATGCATTAGCCTCGTCCTTCCCCGCCCCCTCCGCCCCGCCCCTTTCTGGAACAGATCTTTGTCTGATCAGAATCAGTCTCTAAGGGGCACCTGGATGGCTCAGTCAGTTAAGTGGCCGACTTCGGCTCAGATCAAGATCCGGGGTCGTGGGTTCGAGCCCCGCGTTGAGATCTGTGCTGTCAGCACAGAGCCCGGAGCCTGCTTTGGATTCTGTTTCTCCCTCTCTCTCTGCCCCTCCTCCTCCCTCTCTTTCTCTCTCTCTCTCAAAAATAAATAAACATTAAAAAAAAAAAAAAAAAAAGAAGCCCTGCGTCAGGCTCTGGGCTGATGGCTCGGAGCCTGGAGCCTGTTTCCGATTCTGTCTCCCTCTCTCTCTGCCCCTCCCCCGTTCATGCTCTGTCTCTCTCTGTCCCAAAAATAAATAAAAACGTTGAAAAAAAATTAAAAAAAAAAAAAAAAGAATCAAAGTCCCTGGTGCCAGAGTTCAGTTGGCTGAGCTCAGTAAGGTGTCCTCTCCCCTTAGCTAAGGAGGGCAGGCACCCTGACTGATGGACCCACCGAAGGAAGAATTCCCCATTCCTCCACCTCCACCCCTGCTACCCCTGGGCGGCTGAGGCCAGGTGCTTGTTTACAGGATGGGATCAAGTAGGAGAAGAACCTGAAGCTGAATGTCATGACTACATAAACCCAACACAGTATCTGGCCCATGGTAGAGCATAGTCGTTAAGAGGCCTGTGCCTTGTAACCAGACAGAGCTCTCTGTTACTTACCAGCTGGGTGTTCTTGTGTAAATTACTCGATCTCTGTGAGCTCGGTCTCCCCATTTGTACAGTGGGGATAAGAACAGCACTGTCCTTGGGGCGCCTGGGTGGCTCAGTCAGTTAAGCAGCCGACTTCGGCTCGGGTCATGATCTCACGGTCCGTGAGTTTGAGCCCCGCGTCGGGCTCTGTGCTGGCAGCTCAGAGCCTGGAGCCTGTTTCAGATTCTGTGCCTCCCTCTCTCTGACCCTCCCCTGTTCATGCTCTCTCTCTCCCTGTCTCAAAAATAAATAAAACATTAAAAAAAAAAAAAAAAAAAAAGAACAGCACTGTCCTTCATGGGCTGTCCTGAGAATTAAATGAGATGCAGTAAATGAACAAAACTTGGCACAGTGCCCGACATAATAAGTGCTCAGTAAATTGTAGGTAGTTTTTTTTTTTTTAATTTTTCAGTCCCTTTCTCTCTCTCTCTCAAAATAATTAAATAGAGCATGAACATGAGCAGGGGAAGAGCAGAGAGAGAGGGAGAGAGAGGATCCCAAGCAGAGCCCTGATGCAGGGCTCGACCCCACAAACTGTAAGATCATGACCTGAGCTGAAATCAAGAGTCGCACCCTTAACCAACTGAGCCCCCTCAGGGGCCCCAAATTGTAGGTAGTTTTAAAAACTGTAGTAGGCCTTCGATATGTATTTATTGTGTGAGTGAATTATCTATAATGTTTTCAGTTCTTCTAATTTTTTTTTTTCAACGTTTATTTATTTTTGGGACAGAGAGAGACAGAGCATGAACGGGGGAGGGGCAGAGAGAGAGGGAGACACAGAATCGGAAACAGGCTCCAGGCTCTGAGCCATCAGCCCAGAGCCCGACGCGGGGCTCGAACTCCCGGACCGCGAGATCGTGACCTGGCTGAAGTCGGACGCTTAACCGACTGCGCCACCCAGGCGCCCCTGTTTTCAGTTCTTCTGAAACCACGTCTGAAACTGGAGGGTATCGAAACACCCCAGTTCTCTAATCCACACACCGTCCACATTCGGGGAGTCTGGCATCCCCTCGGCGGCCTCACTTCCCAGCTTAGGACTCTGGTCTCCACTACAGTGAGTCCCTGTGTTCACCCTCCTCTCCCGTGCTCCCTTCTCTCTCCATTGACTCATCTGGAAAATCCCAACTCTGCTGAAACTCAGCTCACCACCTGTCCCTCACCTGTGCCCCCCAGCAACTGACGGGGCCAGAGAGAAGTACAGACCCTCTGTGGCCCAGGTGGGTCCTCCCCACTCTGGGGTAACCCCACAGCCCTGTACTTCCATGGCCTGTCCGGTCCCCCTCCCCCAGAGGCTCTCTCGTGTCTTCCTTCTCTCTTCTGCCTTCAGCTCCTCACTCGTAGCTGATGACACACTTGCGTCTCTAACAAAACAAAAAAAAAGAAGGAAAGAACCAATAAGGAGAAAACTCACATTTTCTCGCTGCCAAATCCACCGGCCTATCTGCCTCAGCACCAGAGAGCCCCGCCTTCTGTCCTGTTACCATAAAGTCACCTTCTCTGACCCCCATAAGGGCTACCCTGCAGGTGCCCCCAGATGGCGTCTCTTCTCACTCACAGATTTTGCGTCTGCAGGTATCCCGTCATCTCCCCTGCACCATCGGTGCCCTGTCGTGCCCCCCAGCATCCGCCTAAGCTGTAAGGTGGCCCATCTTTAGACTGGCGGGGGCTTCCCTGTGGTCTACAAAACCCCAGATGATCTGGCACTGAAATACTTTGACTTGCTCTATGTCCAGTCTCCCCGTACTCAGGCAGCTGCAGTCTTACAGCCTGATCGCCCGTTCCTTAAACACAGTTTCTTCTCGCCTCTGTGCCTTTGCACGCTCTGTTCCCTCTCCCGGAGTGCTCTTCCCCCTGATCGTCACGTGCTTACTTCACTTTATCCAGGTCTGCTCTAAAACCTCCTCAGCCAGATCTTCCCTGACCACCCCATCTTCTTGAATGTACCCCCCACCAACCCCGCTCCGTTCCCTTAACCTGCTCTAATTTCCTTCCAGGTACTCAACGTCACTACTTTTGTGTTGTCTGACCTCTGCCTTAGTCGTAAGTTGCCTGAGCAGGAATGGTGACTGCCTTGTTCCTAGCTGGATCCCCAGCACCTGGAACTTATGTGGCACACAATCCGTGGCCCATATTTTCTTTATTGCAGCACTGAATAAACAAAGAAAAACAAACCATGGGTAAATGGAGGGTCTCTACGAATGTGACTCCTGTTATATACAGTCCCTGCAACCATACTGGAACGATTTCTGACATGGTGGCTCATAAATGTCAAAACCTATGTTTATCTGCTTAAAGAAAGAGAGCCAGTATTTACTGTGGGTCTGTGTCTTATGTGGGGGACTGTTACATATATATGATCTCATTCAAAGCTATCAGCTTTCTGTGGAGTGTCCGAGTGCCCATTGTACAGATGAGGAAGACTGAGATTTAGCGGTGCAAAGAAACTTGTTAAGGCCACACAGCTCGTTTGGTACCTAAGCCAGTCCGACTTCAAAGCCCATGTCCTTCCCTTTATACGACCCCCTGAGAACAATATAGTATGTGGGCATTTCATCCTGTAATTTGTTCTGTGTCTCAAGTAATTATGAAGCCTGGATACGTATGAGGTAAGTTCTCTATATGATTTATCTCACTTGCTCCTCTCATTCCTATGAGGTACATATATTGCTACCTCTATTCTACAGAAGGGGAAACTGAGGCCCAGAGAGGTGGGGATATTTGCCGGGGGTTGTTTGATGAAGTGGTGAAGCCAGTCTTCAAATCCGTTCTGTCTAATTTCAAGGCCTGAGTCTTTTCTGCAACATTGTGCTATCTCCCTTAAGACAACTCGCTGCCTCAGATAAGAAGAGAAGAAAAATGACTAAAGCAGACGAATAAAGTATCATTACGAAAATTCATGGTGACTTGGATTTTTAAGTGGGAAGCAAAGGGCAGGAGGCAGACAGCCAGTCTAGCCTTGGCTCTTGCAGGTTGGGGGTTCACATAACTCACGATAACTTAATTTGCAAAGATCATTCTTCCAGGAACTGGGTCTTATCGTGTATTTTTGTGAGTGGAAATGAAGAGACCGGAGGGTGTCTTGGAGACTGGGGCGAGCGGTCAGGTGTCAGCCCCAGCAGGAGAGGGCTCCAGCCGCTTGTGTGAGGCCAGCGCCCCCTGCTGGCGTAGGAAGTCATCTTCAACATCTAAAGCTGTGTGTGTGTGTGTGTGTGTGTGTGTGTGTGTGTGTGTGTGGTGGGGCAGGAGGTCATTGGGAAGCATATTCAATGAGATTTGAGAAATGTCTAGCACACCCAGTATATAAAAATAATAGCTACTACTTACCAATATAACAGAGTCGTGGGCAGGCACTGTTTTATAGATTTTACATTAATTTTATTTACTCCTGGGACTTTACATACTACGTCTAATTGAACCATCACCCCAATCCTCTGAAGTAGAAATTATTGTTTTCACTCCCATTTTTCACCACAGGAGCCTGAAGCACAGAGAGGGTAAGTCATTTATAACGTGGCTATTAAGTGGAGGATCTCGGACTTGAACAAGTAGACCCTGAGCTTCGTGCCCACGCTCTGGAAACCACTAACTGGCCATTCCTTATGTCTGGGGCACCCCCTGGCAAGCCCCTTGTAAAGAGCCATACTCAGGACTTTCCATGGCTGGATTCCCTGTACTTATACTATTAAATCTGATTTTCTCCTATTAATCTGCCTCGTATTAATTTGATTCTAAGTCCAGTCAGAAGGGCTTTGAAGGGCAGAGGAAATTCTTCCTCCCGAACAGTTGGTGTAGTCAGCAGGATACTCTAACTCCACGGGCACTGATGGGGGAGCATACAGCAAGCTGAGACCCTGCAACCCCCCTCCTCCCCTCGGGCGGGATTCCTGTGACATTCCCCAGGCACTCCTGGCTCCCCGAAAGCTAAGAAAAGGAGAAAGCAAATGGTTAACCGACGGGGAGATCACAGTCATGCAGGACAAGAGTCTCCATGGGTTCACAAACGTCTTCGTAAATCACAAGAAAAAGGCAATCTTGTCACTAGCCTAACCTCCAGAAACCCCAGAGACTCTGTTTCCTGGAGCCCTAACATCACCTCCCCCTCCATACTGGGGTGGGGAACAAAGGCAAGAAGAAAATGTAAATAAACTCAAATTTCTTTATAACCTGCAGCCCACTGACAAACACTTGAGGCAAATACAGAGTCTAACACTTCTCCAGGACCCCTGCTGTCTTCATGTTAATGCCTTGCTAGAGGGAAAAACAACCTTCCCTTGGTGGTAGCTAGGCCTCCCGGGTCCTTTGAGTCCTCTTTAACATATGAAAGTCCTTTTGGAAACCTTCCTCTTGCCTTTACTCCATAGTATAAAACCAGTCACTCCTCACCACCCCAGTGCAGCTCTTCCTGCCCACGGGTCCTGTCCCCATGCTTTAATAAAGTCACCTTTTTGCATCCAAGATGTCTCAAGAGTTCTTGGTTGGCTGTTGGCTCCGGACCCCCACCACCACTCTGAAACCTCATCAGACACCATTGGCCCCGGACCGCTGAGAGATCCTTGGGAAATGTGACAAACAGCTAGAAGAGTGGATTCATTTGAGAACAAAAACTGCCCTTCCCCCCAAGCCTTGCAAACTAGATGTAAAGGGCCTCGTGTAAACTTCAGGGAAATCACCACAGCAGCTCATATAGAGACGATCTTCAGGCCTGTCGCTGTGTGTGCCAGAGACATTTGAACCACAGACCAGGAAAATCCGTCAGAACGCTGCAGCCGCCTCTCACTCTCTCTGAAGATGCTTCAAGTTGACCTCTAGAAAGGTTCCCTGGCTATCCTCAGGACCCCCAAACTGACTTCTGTTCCGACCGAATCATTAACCATTGTTTTTCTTGTCTTTCGGTAGAAACGCCTCTTGTCTAGTGTCTGATTTCTTGAACCATGAGCCCAACTCTGAAAATGCATCTGCTTCGCCACCGCCTGAAATGAGTTTAACTGAACTGACCGATTTGTCAGGACCAAGACTGGTTCCGTGAGACAGAACGATTTACAAGATCAATTTTTAATGCATGGAATTTCAAGGAAGTTTTAGAGGAGGGAACCGTAGGGGCCAAGGGCAGGCTGCCCCAAGATGGGCCACTTTGGCAGGGACATTATTTTGAGTTAAAAGCAATCGGAACCTAGCAGATTCAGAGAAAGCTCTTTACCTCTCCAGCAACTGCCTGCTTTACCGGGAAGAGAGCTATTAACAGAGCTTCTATTCGCCTAAGGAACTTCTCTGCATAATAGGGCACCGAGTGTTTTCCAAACATCTCCATTCACCTTCCTGCTAAAGGCCTTTCTGCCCTTTGTATCCTCAGACCCCTACCCCTCTCCTTAGCTCATATAAGTGTCATGTTGCCTGAATGTCCTTAGAGTTTCCAAGTCTGTGTGGGTTCCCTGTACTTACACTATTAAGTTAGGTTTTCTCCTGGTTAAAAAAAAATGAACCTGGGGCGCCTGGGTGGCGCAGTCGGTTGAGCGTCCGACTTCAGCCAGGTCACGATCTCGCGGTCCGGGAGTTCGAGCCCCGCGTCGGGCTCTGGGCTGACGGCTCGGAGCCTGGAGCCTGTTTCCGATTCTGTGTCTCCCTCTCTCTCTGCCCCTCCCCCGTTCATGCTCTGTCTCTCTCTGTCTCAAAAATAAATAAACGTTAAAAAAAAAAAATGAACCTTACGCAGAGCAGACACACAGCAATGGCTCAATAATTTCTTAGAAAATGGCAGACATACTAGGATTTTAAGTCTGCTCCTTCTGGACCCCAGCGGAGGCGGGTGGGGGAAGTAGATTCTTCTGGGTGACTGGTCTTGCAAACACTCCATCTGTCTGGATGGGAGATAAGCCCCCAGCCAGGGATAAACGTGGCTCCTCGGATCTGCTTCCCCAGCATCTTGGTAACAGCAGAAGCAGAGAATCCTGAACGATAAATGTAAACTACTTAGCAGCCATTGAGGAATGAGTTCAGGACTGACAGATCTGAACAGACAGCTCCTGGAGAAGATTCCTCGGGGAATTTCTCTGCCCGCCCCCCCCCCCCCCCCCCCCCCCGCCCCACCTCCTGTGTCCCGGACTGAAAAGTTACTGGAATGTAGGGAGGTGAAGAGGTTAGGGGTGGAGGGAGAGGTCAGGGCTGCTGGCCACTCAGCTGCTGCTGGGAAAACGCTCAGGGGGGTGAGGCAGCTCCTGTGTACCAACGAATATGGAAGAATTTCAACACTCGCACAACAGGTATGACTATGCCGGCTGAATAGTGCCGTCCTTACTGTGGGTCCTGAGGCAACTGGCCCGACCTCTCTGAAAGTCCTTATCTTCATGTGTAAAACAGCGATGGTGGTAGAAAGTGACTCATGAGGCTGGTGAGGGAGTCGCATGGGTTAAAATAAGTTAAGTTCCGCTTCTAGCTCACGGTAGGCATTCAGTCAATGGGGTTGTGATTAAAGGCCAACCACTGTGTGTGTGTGTGTGTGTGTGTGTGTGTGTGTGTAAGAGTGGGGTAGCCTTGTTGACCAGAGTCCCTCTGCCACACTGTCCCTTGCCTTCACCCCTCCGCCTCCGACTGTAAGGCCACTCCCAGAGCTCAGAGCCCCAGGAGGGGTGGGGGCCCCATTCCCGGTCGGTATTTCCTTGGCTCCGGTAGACTCCTTCCTAAGTTTTACTGACCTGACCTGGTTTGTCCAGAGCAGCTGCCCATTTGTTGAGAAACTGAGGCAGCCATCATAGAAGAAATGAAGGGCCCACTCTTGCCAGAGGCCCTGGCCTTGGAGCTCTGGCCCGGGAGGAAACTGTGTGCGGAGGCTCATATATGCTGTAGGAAGACCTCCCTGCCCGAGAATTCGTCTGTAGGGAAGATCTTGACTTGGACTGGGTGGTTGGATCATCAAAGATAAGGGAAGAGGAGGGTAGGAAGAAGCCAGCTAATGCAGGCCTGTCATCTCTGCCGTGAAGACTCTAGGTTTTGTTCTATGTGCAGTGGGAATGTATTAGAGGCTTGTAAGCAGGGGAATAGCACTGTCTGATTTGATGTTTTTTTCAAACAAAAAGTCTCACGTATTTATACCAAACCAACCTACTGCTGCAGAGGCATAGTAACCGAGAAAAATAAAACACGTCTATTGGGGCCACCTTGGAGACTCGGTGGGTTAAGTGTCCGACTCTGGATTTCGGTTCAGGTCACTGTCTCACAGTGTGTGAGATCGAGCCCCACATCGGATTCTGCGCTGACAGTGCAGAACCTGCTTGAGATTCTCTCTCTCCCTCTCTCTCTGCCCTTCCCTCTGCCTCTCTCTCTCTCAAATGAATAAACATTACAAACCATGGCTATTGTTGGGGTAGTGATGTCCACAGAGCAACGGGACAGCAGCCCGTGACCTTCATGCAGCATGAACACAGTGCTATCTCATGGGCGATCCCTCATAGGCCCAGCCGGGTTCTCCTTCAACGCCTCCTCTTGGAGTTGAACCTGATTTTCTTACCAGTCTGCGTCCAAATCCACTGGGGAATGGGACCATTCTGCCTTTGTTTCTCCATCGGGAATCGCTTGATCCTGAAAATCTCGTGAGGAGGCATGGAGAGGGACCGTGAACCGCAGGCACCCGAGGGCGGAGTAAAGGAGAGAGTTGACTTGAATTTTGAAGGAAGATCCCATGGGTCGCTGTGATCAGACTGTGTTGAGAATGGCTTGTGGATACAAAGACGGAGGCAGGAAGACAAAAGGGGTGTGTGTGTGTAAATATTGAAAAGCCCGCACACGCCTAGGAAAAGAGTGATGGTTTCCTACGGCCCTAGCAACATCACGTCACTACTGGAGCTGCCCTTTAACTTGCCCCCTAGGTCAATGGCCACTCATCTCGCCAATCTGGCCTCTGATTTATCTCATGTAGTCATCAGAGGGCAGCCCGGTCTCTAAGATTTGGGGAAATCGCATCATTGTGGCCTTCTGTACTTCTTTCTAGTTGCTCCCTGTCTGGTGGGGGGGGGGCAAAAAGCGGGGGCGCGGGGCGCCCCCCCCCCCGGCAGAGTGCGATGCCTTAGGTGAGTGAAGGCCCAGAGGAAGCGGGAGAATGTGGTGGCGTTCAGCCTGAATGGTTCGGCTCCTCGGAAGGGACCACACTGTGTTGGTACTGACCTCAAGGGCCGAGTGATGAGTAGAATTCCAGCAGAGTTGACAAAAAAGACAGTCAGGCCCATTTTACAGAAGAATGAGCTGAGGCTCCGAGAGTCCCTTTCTTGAGTTGGTAAGAACTCTGACTGCCTAGCACAGAGTCCTAAACCACTGCTTGTACTTTCTCGGGGTTTCTCATCCTGTGAAACTGGGATAAGGACATCTGCTTTTCAGGGCGGTGGTGAGGGTTTGCTGACTTCATACGTTAAATAGAAGCATAGAGCCATTTTGGGAGACAGATGCTGGACACATTCCCACTCCCACTCACCGACCGGCCTCGCAGCTTACAGTTCAAATTCGTGCCTCAGCAAAGTGACGAAGCAGTCCGTGCCCCGGATCTGGGGGTGGGAGGGGCGGTGGTGTTATGACAGAGTCAAAACTAAGAGGGTAGAATCTTGGATGTCATGGTCTCAGCAGATACTATCAATGAGGATAACGATCAGATGCTTCTTTTACATTTATTATTTTGCTTTGTCTATTCATCAACTCGGTATTTAATGCACTACGTGCCAGGCATCGTTTTATGTTAATTCTAATAATCACCATGAAACTCGGTGGTAGGAATTATTATTCCTGCTTCACAGATGATGGAACTGAGTTAGGAGAGCAAATAGAACCAGATTATAGAATACGGATCATTAATATCTTGGGCAAATGAAAGAGCCTGTTGCATCAATTTTTTTTAAAAGCGTACAACAAGGGATGCCTGGCTGGCTTAGTCGGTACAGCGTGTGATTCTTGATGTGGGGTCATGAGTTCAAGCCCCACGTTGGGGGTTGAGTTTACTTAAAAAAAAAAGTATTCGAAAATTTTTTTTTTAACGTTTATTTATTTTTGAGACAGGGAGAGACAGAGCATGAACGGGGGAGGGTCAGAGAGAGAGGGAGACACAGAATCGGAAACAGGCTCCAGGCTCTGAGCTGTCAGCACAGAGCCCGACGCGGGGCTCGAACTCACAGACCGCGAGATCATGACCTGAGCCGAAGTCGGATGCCCAACTGACTGAGCCACCCAGGCACCCCCCAAAAAAGTATTCAAAAAGAATACAACAGCTTTATGAATCAAAAAAGTCTGATTCTTCTTAAAATAAAAATAATAATTCTTTTATTCATTTTTATTTTAGAGAGAGTGAGAGTGGGGGAGGGGCAGAGAGGGAATCTTTTTTTTTTTTAACCTTATTTATTTTTGAGAGAGAGAGAGCGAGAGTGAGCGAGCAAGCAGGGTAGGGGCAGAGAGAGAGGGAGAGAGAGGGAGAATCCCAAGCAGGCTCTGCACTGTCAGCACAGAGCCTGATGTGGGGCTCGAACTCATGAACCGTGAGATCATGACCTGAGCCGAAATCAAGAGTCAGACACCTAACGGACTGAACCATCCAGGCGCTGTGAGAGAGAATCTTAAGTAGACTCCATGCTGGGCGTGCAGCCTGACATGGGGCTCAATCCCATGACCCTGGGATCATGACCTGAGCCCAAATCAAGAGTCGGATGCTCAACCAACTGAGCCACCCAGATGTCGCTAAAAATAATAATTCTTTTAAGGATAAAGTCTTGATAGATGGATTGAAGAGCAAAATGGATTTGGAGAGTGAAGTAGTGAACCAGAAGGCTGAGCAAAGGCATTCTCCCAGAATGCAGTGCCAAGGAATAAACAGATGGAAAGTGGGAACAAGCACGGAGGTGTGAAGGGTATTGCAAATGTCGCATTGTCTGCTTCATGTGAGTTACAGAATAAGAGAAGGAAACAGAAGAAGGAAAGTCCCTGAAGCAACGTAATAATTCAAGACTTCTTCTTAGAACTTAAGAGACACATGAGTTCTTATGTCGAGAGGATCTAGTGAATATTTACAGGAAGAATATGGAAAGACTTACACTTAAGTACACCCTCCTGAAATCTCAGGACCCTAAGGAGGAAAAGGAAACGCTGAATGTTTCCGGAGTGAAACAAATGAGGATAAGGTTGACCTTAGTCTTCCTCCTTTGCAACTTTGTGAGCAAGACAACAGCCCAATGATGTCTTCAAAGTTCTCTGGTGGAATACGTGGGAGTTTAGGAGCGTTGAGGAGTGTTTACTCAGCTGATCTGTCAGGCAAATGTGGGGGCATCACCGACCATTTTAAGACACCGATGGACGAAAAATGTTTACAACTCATAGTCACAGCATTCCTCCGCAGGGTCCTGTTGGCATTTGGGGTGGAA